ACTCAGGAGGCACCAGTTGCCCATGCCAAATACTATGCGTTCATTATTTTGAGTTTACTTAAGAGTCTAGAATTTGCAGGGGCCAACTTTGGACAGTCAAATAGATGACATACAATAAATAAGTATGTTCATTTTTTTTATTGCCATGATTTCAAAGATGAAGCATTTTCACCATACAATTTCAGGATGCCTTCTCCAGAGCCTTTTCCCAGTTTTAGGAAACTGTGAATATGCATCCATTTTTTTTTTTTTTAGCTTTCCTCCTATAACTGTTAAAGCTCTTTCATCAGGTGAACTGGATTCTAGCTGCTTTTATGGAAGGGTAAGGGTTAAGTGTTACATGCTAATTTATATGCAGTTGTGCTGGATTTAATGTTGGGATGGGGTAGGAGTTATTACATGGGACCAGTTCAACAATGTTAGCAAGACAGTTTGGGATATGCTTGAGCTCAGACTAGCAATATTATTGCATTGTGTGCCTGCAGGCAGCCTTATCATTGGAGATTGCGTCCTTACTCCTTGTGATAAATCAGCAAAGAAATACCAATTTGCAAGGGCAAAAGGGAATCCTGCTAGATATACATTGCTGATTTTTTTCCAGGACAGTGCCCCTGGAGGTCTTGCGTGAATGAAAGGGCATAGTGACTGACCTCTCTAGAGTACTTTTGCATGTCAGCAAGGAATTTCAGATACAAACATTTTACTGTTGACTGCAGAAAGAGGAAGTTTCAGCAGGTGATAGTTTCTGTGACTTCTTAATTTATGCTTCTTTATTTGCTGCCTGCTCCTGTGAAGGATTGATTTCCATGTGTGGCTTATTGCAACGGTATAAACCACACTGATTAAAAATATCACAGATAAAACCTGAGAACTATGTTTCTGTCAAAGCTTGTTTTAAATAATTTCAGTATGCTAAAAAAATAGAGTTTGTTGCTATTAAAAGCTATAGTGTGTCTGTGTGCATATGGTTTTGTTTGTTTGTGGGAAGCTATGCAGAACTCTCATTGATTTTTGTATTAGTATCTTTAATCAAAACTGTGTGCACATTGTTGCATCACCCTACAAGGATCATTGCTCAATAAACACATATTTACATTAAGGAAAATTCTGTCTGGCACAGCAGGGAGCTGGCAGCAGGTTCTGGGTATACACATGGGGCTGTGCAGGGCTGAGTTGAACATCCCTGGCTGTTGGACACCTCATTCAAGGATTCTTATGCCCCATTGGCATCTGTGTTGTGCAGGCTGTTGGTAGTGTCTACCGTGTCGGTGTCCGATTCTAAAATCCTGCCGAAGTTCTCACTTTATGGAGAGGTTGAAGCATTTTTGGAGTTTCTGTCCATGACCCACTTGTAGGCTAACTTCAGATCCTTTCCCACTTGTAGGCTAATTTCTGGTCCTTTCCCTTGTTGCTGCATGGCATCATGCTGAGGGTCCCACGTGGCCAACTCTCTGGTGATAGTCTTGTCAATCTCCTAGGTGTGGTTAAAGCTCTTAAAGATTTTTTGTACCTTCTCCATCCCACAATATGGGTAAGATTCAGGATTTAGCTTACACCTGAGAGCATGACAAAGCAGCATGGCTGGTACTAAAACTTGAGACCATTCACCTTTTAGAGAGTAAAGATTACAACTTGTTTATGATCAGGACCTTTTTTTCAAGCTTAGACTCAGAATTAAGGTACAGCAACAATTATTTTTTATGATTATCCTTTAGACACAACATTAAGGTAGAGTTACAATTCCCTTAATTATCAGCACCTACATCAGAAGAGAGGCAAGAGAAAGATCTGTAGCCTGACTTTTTATTGTCATACTCCAAAGCACCAAAATACATATTTTTTTCAGTGTCTGTCTATCAAGCTACAATAGCACAATATAGGTTCTCATCTGTAGACTTAGGAGGAAAGTAGCTGGCAGCTGGTCTTGAATTTTACGAACTCTCGAATTTTCCATCCAGTCTATACCTGACATTTATTGCTGGCTTGTTCTGTAATTCTAATAAAATTCTCTGGTTGGTTTTATTGGAATGATTTGTTTCACTGAAACTTTTAGAACAAACCTGGAACAATTCTTTTATGAATTGGGAAGGGGTCAATTAGCTGGAATTGATGTCCCTGTGAAAAGGGAGGATATCTTATCTCCTTCCTTCACCATCGTGGAATGCTGTTTGCCATTTTCCTGTTTTCATTTCACCTTGGTGTATGATCTGCACTGGCAAGACTGCTTTGTTTCTATAACTTATTTAAAAATGTTAACACAAATATAACAAAACTATAATGCATTTGGTTACATCAATTCTTTCTACTAACATTTTAAACTAAAGTTTTGATATAGTATATCTGGATTGTTTTAATTCCCTCTTTTATAATTTCTGCATTCTGTTTAATTTGATCTAGTTTAGCTGGAAGTGTTAATTGCTTTCTTTCCTTTGCTGACCAAGTTAGCTGTCCCATCTGCAGAGGTTCACTCTGCAGTCACACAAAAACAGGCTTTTGGGGCATAGGTCACCTGAAAATGGCGAGGCTGGCAATAATTTATTATACCGTTTTACTTTACTATATTCAGTCAACAAGACTACACTATAATTTCACAGAATTCGAATGAGCTACACATACTTGAATTCTTCTTATCAAAAGATAAGACAGGAAGTTAATGCAGCTGTTACCTTTAGCCACTATTAGTGGTTTCCAAAAAGTAATTATCTGTACCTGACTTAGGCTAATATTGGCGGCCTTGACTAACAGACTTTATTCTACTTCCACAGGCTACTGCTTATTGATGATGTTATGCATTTCAATCTCAGCAAGTTTAAGAACATATTATCCATGATTTAGATTTACACTACATCCAGTATCTGCACTTGTCATCATGGTGTTTCAGTTACTGTCTGCAATCTACCCAGCAACAGGGTTAACAGTTATGAACCACAAATTAGGTGCTAAACTATAAATCCAGGAACAACTGAGTGCAAAGATGAAGAAGATGGCTTTGCTCTGTAATTCCAGAGCAATAGGAGCTACATAGATAAACAGAGCAACTACTTAGGGAAA